ATAACGCTAAACAATGAAATGCTTTAGAATATACAATAGCAAAAAAACAGGAATGCTGTGAATAGTCGCTTCACCACGAAAACCGACTATAACTCATTAATTAGTATAGTTTTGTATTGTAGTTTCTTTGTTGCCAGTGCAGGGAATTAACTAATTACGTTGACTGTCCTCATAGAGGAATATGTTTTGCATAATATCGCTAAACGACGTAAAACCGACCCGATTTGTGTTGGTATCAGATAGTTTCTTAGTAGACAGCGAAGTATTCTTGTTGAACTGGACAGCTCATCATAATTTCTCATACGATGTCATAAGAACATCCTCTGATAGCTCAGTTGGTAGAGCGGTGGACTGTAGCGTTCGTAACGCGGATATCCATAGGTCGCTGGTTCAAATCCGGCTCAGAGGATAGCAGTGCAGGAAAAAGGAAAAGTTTTGCGTTAAGTTATGAACAGCTTCCTTGCATTGCAACAACGCGACAAATAGGCGCCATCATTTAGCATTCTCAATGTCCATGAGGCTTCAAGGCGTTCACATTAGAATAATCCTCTTAACGTAAAATCAATTGCCCAAAGAACATGCTGTGATTCCGTATTATTATTAATATAATTTTAAACAAAGGATTAACTTTTCTTTTATTTTTTACTACAGTGTCTAATATGTTGAAACATGAACTGGTTGTGAAATATGATTTGAAGAGAGTAAGATGAGGCAGAGGAAACGATATCCAAACATCCTTTGTTGCACTTAATGATATTCATGGTTCAAAGCTTCTGAAAATTATGTACAAACTAGGGAAGGCTGCATGAAAATGCCGGAAAGATGTGCAGGAAGGTAGGAAGATCAGTTCAGGGAGGCGACGATGAGCTCAAACCACTGAAAGAGTCCAGTGGTGGTCCTGAGCTTGAAAAATTGCTTTTAACAACTCATTCACTTCACTGCACCTCTCTGACGAAGTTATTCATGGTATCCTCTGATAGCTCAGTTGGTAGAGCGGTGGACTGTAGTGTTCATAACATAGACATCCATAGGTCGCTGGTTCAAATCCGGCTCAGAGGATAGTAATGTAACACGACTTATAAAACTTTTAAACCTTGATGATTAATTACATCTTTCTATTGCAACAAGGCAATGTTCAGTCAGTCATCTTCCTACATGCTGAACGTTCGTTTCTGATCTGCGCTAGCACAGCAATGATTGATGATAGTAGCTCCAGTTCAAATATTCCATTTTGGGAATATTTTTAATATATGAAATCATGCTACCGCTTTTAATGTTGAAATTGGTCAGAAGATACCGTGCGGAAGGACAGAAACCATGAAGCCATTTCTTTGCTATGGCAGTTGGTACGTTCTCGTCAGAGTCTACTCAAACTGGCTCCTTTGAATGCAGATACTCTGCTTTAATTCTACCGAAATTTACACAGCGGCTCAAGTCACGCAGTAATATTCCCTGACTAAAGGTAAGTTCAAACGGATTTGAAATGCTTTCACGTTTCGCTATGTCTCAAATTAAGCGGTGAGGTCTTCTTAAGCCCACATTTAGAAGCAATGCATCATTGTTCAAGTAACTTCATAACCAATCATCCTCTGATAGCTCAGTTGGCAGAGCGGTGGACTGTAGCGTTCATAACGTGGATATCCGTAGGTCGCTGGTTCAAATCTGGCTCAAGCCAAAGTCATCAACATATATATCCAAACCATTTTCGTTTCGTGCTTTTGGCGTGCTAACTGCATTAACTTGTTTCTTCTTACGGAGTAAGTCCCGTTTGGAAAGTAAAACTTTAATTCCGTAGCTTTTGGTTCTCTCGTGACCCGTCCTCAGCGGTATTAAAATCAGTGTCAACTGCATTACCCTAAAAGGATTTACAATTCCCATCTGAACACAGAAAAGTGCATAGGTATCATTGAGAAATTACCATTTGACCAATCAGCTGCTGGGAAGAATCTTTCCGGAATGACGCCATTGGAGTTTCAAAGTCGTTAATGTTCTAAAGCAAAAGACGTGAGCGCATAACTGATAAAACGAATGAACAATTACTACCAACCTCCAATGAATGTAGTTCAGCTGAATACATGTCACTTGGAGTCTCCAAAGATTGGTTCGAGTAAGCTTGCGTAGAGCGCAAGTCTGCCTGCAATGGCAGCTTAATGAAAATCAATGACAAATGGCAAACGGCTGAAAGGTGACTAAGGAGGAAGATTAGAATCTCCTATATTTACCGTTTAAATCATACGGAAATTATAGCCACCGTTGAT